GCGATGTAGTTAACATCTCCTAGCCACCGAACGTGTCCCCCGCATGACACCGTCACCATTGCGTCATTCGTCTTGCACAGCCGCTAGAGTGGCCGCGCGTGTAGCCCTTGGGCCAGACCAGATATCGGTACCACCCAAGGTGGCCAAATTTCAACGGTGCCATTTTATTTGTTAAACATCAGCAGAAGTAAAATAACACGTGATAAACTTTCCAAATGAACAGCCGTTAAATTTTTATCGCATCTCTCGCAATCACGCCTACTTGCCCGGACGTTACAAATAAAACATTCCCACACCTCTGCTGTTAATTAAGACAGTAAATAATTTACAAAATGGATGTTTGTCCCCCAGGGCATGTATTTTATACGTATTCTTTGCATTTAGTCACGCTTGTTCTTCGATTGAAGGGACTTAGTGAAGTCTGGAATAGATTGGCGCTAACTCGATTTGGTGCTTTCGTGACTGCAGGAATTACTCTTTGGTTTTTTCGGTAAAGTCACGGAGAAATAATAAAAAATAAAATTATATAATAGCATACGACGTTTCGATTACAACACAAGCAATCATCATCAGGTACATACAGTCTGTGTTAATCCCCTCTACTTGGGGTCTGTATATATATCTGCGGTTATGTGTTTCCTCTCTCTCTTAAATTTAGCTCTTCTGTACCTGATGACGATTGCTTGTGTTGCAATCGAAACGTCGTATGCTATTATATAATTTTATTTTTTATTATTTCTACGTGACTTTACCGAAAAAAACAAAGAGTAGATTGGCGCTATCTGTTTTCCTTCTGTTTCTAGCAGCTTGCTTGCTCATGATCGTTTACTGGCATTGCGATTTTCTGAAAATGGCATTTTGCATGCCGAGTTTGACAACTCACGTTTCATGATAGGTAAAGCCACGTAATTATACATACTGCTTCCTACTTGGAATAGCTAGAAATGTAGTTTTTTTTACTGGTGGTTCTGTATTATTTCTGTTCAGTAAAGATATCTAAAGTGCTAACTTTACCCTCAATGTATTGTTAATGTACCTGTTAAGATTATTAGTTAAGGTCAGGTACTACAGGCAAAAATAATGAAATTTGTTCAGTTTGTCAATTTTTTTTTATATTTTTTTATATTCTGCTTCTATAAATTGTAAACTTTCATAACATGCACATCATTAAAATCATAAAAACTAACTATATTTTATAAACAGTTCGTCTTTACGATTTTATACAAACTTGGACAAGTAAACAAAGCCTTCAGTTAGCGTTTTTTTAGCATCTTTCATCGCAATTTCTTTCCGCATTCTAAGAAATAACCTCGTTGAATTGCATATCATTGAAAAGCTTATTCTCTGGAGCAGGTGTCTAGCTTAGTCACATATGGCTATTTACTTTGCTGTCATGGCAATAATAGGGGGGATACAAGTGTAGATAACTTTCAAATCTCATTGCTACGAGCATCACAATGCCACAACTGGCATTGCGATTTTCTCAAAAATGTCATTTTGCATGCCGAGTTTGACAACTCATGTTTCATGATAGGTAAAGCCACACAATTCTACATACTGCTTCCTACTTGGAATAGCTGCAAATGTTTTTTTAAATATATATCTTGTCATTTTCATGTTACGTGCTATTATATCGAAAAAAATTCGGCGACAATATTTGTTTTTGCATTTGTCAAGTGTATTCTAACATAATTAACTGAAAGAACAATATTTTAACAAAACCCGTTCTAGATTACCTACCAATTAGTTATTGATCACATTAAAATACACCAAAAAGTTCTGAATTCATCTACTAAGTCAAGATTATGTTTGACATAATATGCAAATTTGCGCATATTTTATGCGATAACACAGAACATGCATCAATGAACGGGGGGAAAGTCACAATACCAAAAAAAATCTTATTGTTTTGTGTATATTCATCTGGTAATTTTCATTGTGATAAAAGGACAGGATGATGGCAAGCTGGCCATTTACTGGATGCGCTCCCCACCCGCACCAGATGTGGTCTTGGAAATGCTGGCATGCAAGTTTGTGCGTTCATGCAAAATGCCAAGCTGCACGTGTCTGTCAAATGGACTGACATGCACAGACACGTGCAGGTTACAGACCTGCAGTAACCAAAAACTGCAGGATGACCCAGAACCTGACTTTGAACTCGGGGAGTCAGATGACGAGAAAGACGAGCAGTTTGACGAGTGACACAGGGTGGTGATTCTGATGGTATTACTGTGGTAGTAGTAGTATACATTGATGCAGTGTGGTGATTCTGATGGTATTACTGTGCTAGTAGTCGTATACATTGATGCACAGTGTGGTGATTCTGGACTTGGTTACCCTTGTTAACACCATCTAAGTACACACAGAGCTTTATAACAATAATGTAACCTGCACATATACTCATCACTAACGATATATATGGATTACATGTATCATTGACTAAGTATATGCGAATGTCAATGTTTATAATATTCAAGTAGTTTTGATTTAAAGCTTTCGTGACTGCAGTAATTCATATTCTTAGCTCTTTCGGTAAAGTCACGTTAAAGGGAAACAATAAAATATATATATAAAACAATAAAAATTCTCACGACGTTTCGACCATATATATTTTATTATTTTATTGTTTCCCTTCAACGTGACTTTACCGAAGAGCTAAGAATATTCAAGTAGTTCCTTACCTCACGATGGTATTCCTTATTGTCCTGTGTTTTCATTGTGTATTTAAACCAATAAAGACCAGTTTGTGACCTAACTGGCTTTGGTCTAGGTAGTTTTTCAGTAATAATGCCCATTTCATCATTCCGGACGCCTGCCATAGGGTTATGGGTATAAAAGTCACGGTGACTACAACTCAGCTGCCACTCCGCAAAGGTTATCACACCAGAAGATGCCCCACGCACATGGAGGATTACAAAAATCATGACTAGACTTTGCCACCACAGGTGGTACCAATAAATGATTTTTTTCGTGAGGGGGTCTGGGCCAATGGACTAAAGTGGTCTCAACAGTGCTGTGAACATAACTGCGGGAGCCGGTAGGGTGATGATGATCCTGGTCGCGCACATCGGTGGCACGTGGCATCTGAACCTGTGCTGAGCATACCCAGGGGTGAATGCATTCTTAAACAAGTGACTGTGCCGGACGCAAAGTGGATTGTCCTTGAAACTGATTGGTCCACACCAAGGGACGGCTTTCTTTTGAGCCTCGACCCAATTTGGTGCTCGACCAGATGACGCCAAAAGGCGTCACACAGCTCAAAGACAATGCACTATCAAAGTAATGAGGGCTCGGGGTGAGCATCTACACCATTAGACCTCCTTTGCCAGTACCAAAATGTAATAATAGGGTTGTTCCCCTTTTTTTCTGGCAATAAAACTGAAACCTTTTTTTACAAGGATTCATGTCTGCATTAACCACAATACCTGCAGTCAAAATGCAAACAAAAAACATACTATGATAATATATGTGGAATTGTCCTTGAAACTGGTTGGTCCACACCAAGGGACGGCTTTCTTTTGAGCCTCGACCCAATTTGGTGCTCGACCAGATGACGCCAAAAGGCGAATATGACAATTCGTCACTAGTACAGCACACCGGTGTGTTGGAGAGCCAAGCCACAACATTTCGATGAAGCTAGTTGTAATTACTGGCGACACGTCGCACTCAGATTAGGTCCCACATGTAATAGGAGTTGCAGATAACAGGGCCCGCAGGTTAGAGGAGTTCGGTAATAGTTCTGTTGATGCTTACTGTTGCTTGGCGGCGACGTGTTAACACCCTCAGGTGCTGTTCCATCTCTAATAGGCGCTCACGAACAGTGGTTTCCCCGGAAACTATATATATCCAGTCGAACACAATTATAAAGCAACCTTTTTGTATTTGTAATTTGGTATATGACGTTGCCTTTGGTACGAGTATACAACTCGTGAGATGTGCATTTGAACAACAACACGCATTCATACGACTTCGAGAGCATGTGCTTGGATTCATGAATGCGTGAACGTTTGCGCTTGCGTTATTATTACGTATCTGTGTACGTGTGCACTCGCTTGAGCGTGTGTGTTTGCCCGTGGAATTGTAACCGTGGTGTATCGCCAACAGCACTTGCCCCAAGAAGTCTTTTTATGGCTATTCGGGGGATCTTTGTTGTGACTGCGGCAGTGCAACAGTTAGCGCGCTGTGCTACGAACCCAGCGACCCGAGTTCGATTCCCCGTTCACGGCCAACACCAGTGGCGATTATTTAAACCGGTCCTGGGCCCTCGCCTAGGTCGACTCGGCCTCAAATGAGAACCTGGTGCGGTGCGTGAAATCATCGCCACTCGGGAGAGTAAGGACGGCCGGGGAGTGGTGCTGGCCGAGTGCCTGTGCAGAATTAAGCTAGTGCGGGGCCTGTAGCTAGTGTTATAAAGGCGGCATCTAAAAACAAACATAAATATTAAAAGACAAATGTTTAACTTGCACAGTGAAGTAATTGTATTTTTTTTTTGCATTTGCTATACAGCCAGATAATACGATAAATCGCTAACCTTAAACGCCCCAGTCGTTCGTAAAAGTTGAAGTCGGTATAGTACTATAGTAATAGAGCAAGTGCAGAATCACCGAGACGGAATAGATAGCTTGAAAGCATTTAGCGCGGGGCCCTTGAAAGTGCGGGGCCCGTAGCGTTATGTAGCTACTACACGTGTAGTAGCTAGTAGTAGCTACTACTAGCTACTACACGTGTAGTAGCTACTACTACACGTGTAGTAGTAGCTACTACACGTGTAGTAGTAGCTACTAGCTACTACTACACGTGTACTACTACACGTGTAGTAGTAGCTACTACTACACATGCAGCTCCTTGTGCTGCTACGATAATCCGGCACTGAGTGGCCACCCACCCCCTCGTGTGCCGTGCCGGCCTTCATAGGTGCTCACAAAACAGCACTTGCCCCAACAATGTGTTAAGCCTATACGGCGGGGGGTGTGGGTTCTTTGTTGTGACTGTGTGGTTAGGTCGCCTGCTGTTTTCCGGCTATAACGACTACACAATCAACGTGTGGGATGTACTCAAGGGATCGCGCGTCTCCATCCTGTTCGGCCACGAGAATCGCGTGAGCACCCTGCGCGTCTCCCCCGACGGAACCGCCTTCTGCACCGGCTCCTGGGACCACACGCTCAGGGTAAGCGGCCTCCCCTTCGAGCCCAGATCTCGCCGGACACCGACGGCGACGCACGGGTGACGCGCGCGAGCACACACTAAAGACAAAGATCCCCCGTACAGCCTTAACAGGCTGCAGGAGCAAGTGCTGTTGGCGAGCGCCTACGAAGGTCGGGGCACGGCATTGGCACGCGGGGGGTGGGTTGGCTGGCCAGCACCACGCCCGGCCGCCTTTGTCTCCCCCAGTGGCGATGTTTTACTACACACCGCACCAGGTACTCATTTGAGGCTGAGTCGACCTAGGGGAGGCCCAGTGCGCCAAATCGAGGGCAAACACATTTATTGTGTCACGTAGAAGGGATAATTTTATTGTTTTATATTTGTATTATTTTACTGTTTCCCTTCTACTTGGTGACTTTACCGAAAGAACCAAGAACATGAATCCCTGCAGTCACGAAAGCTTTAAATCGTCATTTATTGTGGTTAATTTCTAAAATGCAACAGCACGTGGTGTGTACACGTGCGGTCAATCAATAACCCTGCCAGCCGCCTACAGGCACAACTCCGTTATCGCATGCTGGTGGACACGCGTGCATCGATGCGGCTGGCACAGCACGTTAAGGACTTCCACAAGACCACACTTTACTCCCTTGCTGCACGAGGAAATCATTAAAAGAGTGGTCCATTCCTAATGTGCCACACCAGGACCGGTTCTGAATTAATCGTCACCGGTGTTGGCCGTTGAGCGGGAATCGTAGCGCAGCAGCAGCGCCGACCGCTACACCACCGCTCCCCCAGGTCTCGCCAGCCACCGACGATGGCTCACGGTGGTAACTCGCGCACCGCGAGCTCGATTTCCTCACAGCAGAGGGCCACCTGGGGGTTCGATTCCCCGACTCGTGTGGGCTTTGTCTGTACACGTCCCTCTGTTGTGCATGGGGTTCCCTTCCGTGTTTCTCCCATAACTTGAGAAACGCACGATGATGAACAATGATATGGAAATTACTCGGTTGGGATTACACAAGGCAGCTACACCAACCCGTACTTCCAAAGCAACTTGGGGGCCGGCCATAAATGACGTCACGCGATCTTGGACGATTTTTGACCCGCCCCCCCTCGTCACACGGCGTCACAAAGTCAGACCCCCCCCCCCTCAAATATGACGTCACAAAGCTCTGCCCCCCCCCAAAAAAAACATGCTTCAAATCGCTTTAAACTATCGTCATCGTAGTGTGTATTTAATGTGGCGCTGCACTCTGTTGTAGGAGAAAACATTTATTAAAAAGTCTATTTAATTAAGTAGAACGTGTTGTGTCTATATTTATTTAAAGTTGCGCATTTTGATGTGACGTCACATTTCTCAAACCCCCCCCCCTCGTCACACATCGTCACAAATGTCTGACCCCCCCCCCCCCCAGGTGCGTGACGTCATTTATGGACGGCCCTTTGTTAGAAAAAGAGTCTTCAGACTCGGGGTTTCCTGGGTACACAAACATAATAATAATAAACATAAACATAATAATAAACATAATAATAAACATAATAATAATTTGCCTCAATGTAAACTGCACTTATCAGACTGAAATTCAACTGGAAGGAATAACGTTCTTTTATGCAAAGGGCATTTAAAATTAATAACGAATTAAAGCTTTCGTGACTGCATAAGTTACTCATTGTTTTTTTCGGTAAAGTCACGTATGTAGAAATACCATAAAATTATATTAAAACAAATAGGGCGACGCCCTATATGCTCCCTCGCTATTTGTTTTTTTACACCTGATGAAGATCGCTTGTGTTGCGGTCGAAATGTCGTGATTGATTTATTTTAATATAATTTTATGGTATTTCTACATACGTGACTTTACCGAAAAAAAAACAATGAGGCATTTAAAATTGTTCAAATTCTCCTCTTGGAGGCATGGTTTGTATCCTGGTTATTTGCAATGCACATTTTCCCAGCGAACAAGGAAGATTAATTTGCTATTTGTGAGCTCTTGGTCCCACACACATTTAGTCCCATTTATATGAATTACTTATCGATTTAAAGCTTTCGTGACTGCAGGGATTCATATTCTTGGTTCTTTCGGTAAGGTCACGTAGAAGGGAAATAATTAAATTAAATAAAAAATAATACCTGATGATGGTAATGATTGCTTGTGTTGCAATCGAAACGTCGTGAGAATTTTACTGTTTTATTTCTATTATCCGTGTTATTTCCCTTCTACGTGACTTTACCGAAAGAACCAACAATATGAATGACTTTATTTAACTCATTTTTAGACAAAGTAGGGCACGAGCAACTTCAGAGCTTATGCGAGGTCCTCAGAAGCAGCGCTGAAGTGTAGACACACGGCTACAGTTCGATATTTGCTCATCTAATACAGGGGCAGAGCCATTGTTGCGCTTGTTAACGGTGTGAGCAAGAAACGTATTTGTGGATGGGCCCATTTGTGCCTGACGAGAGGGCTCCGCTTCAGCAGAGCTTACTGGAAACGCACGACGCCAATTGCCTTTCCACGCGGGATGGCCGCCTTGGACAAGAGAGTGAATCTTGCCTCGTGCTCTTTGCTCGCTGCTCCATTTATCACTCCCACCAGGTGTGAATAATTGAAGGTAACTAAAGACGACGTGAAATGAATGTTTTTCTTCTTCTTCTTCCTAGATTAAATTATCCACACCTGGTGGGAGCGATAATTAAACGGTGAACGGAACATCTTAACCTGACCTCCCACGTTCCCTCGTATCTGCTGAGTTTGTCATGTCACAACTTCTTAAGAGTGGATGGTAACGTGCTTTTTAATTACATAATACGGTCACTTGCAGCGCACTCTGCGATGTTGCCCCAAAAATGCTCGAAAGACCCCGAGTGTCAACTGGTTCAGGTCGTGGGTCATCGGTGTGAACATCACGGGGCCTGATTTGTGCAGCGCATTTGATGGTCTATCGTCAGCCACCGTTCAGAAAGCTTCAAATAACTCTGTGTTTATACTGAAATCAGGTGAATTAGGGAGTGAAACTCGTGTCGTTCTGCTTCTCGAATGCCTGCTCCACGTTCTGCCTGGACACCGACGGTGCTCGTAACGTGACTGGAAAATCAAAACGCAGCACCGCTTTGAAACAGCAGTGTTGTAGCCCATGATGCCTATGTTCTCATAAATGACGGGCTTATATAACGCCTATTATTGCAAAATGTAATAAAGGGCCGTGATGTCCGACCGGGGCATACGCGACACGGCGGTATGATTGCAACCATGCCTTTTTTTTACTTTAAGGAGGGTTATTGTTCAGTGATTAAAAAAAAGCCGCATGCAGCTAAAGTATCACGGAGCAGTGGTGTCTTATGTAAGAGTCGGTCGGTAATAATAACTCTTAAGAACGTTAACTTTGCACATATACTACTTGAATGTTGGGGGGTAACTTTTTACTACATTGCTGTAGTTATACTGTGAGTAATGTCCTCCCCTAAAGTGCTGAATTAAATCCATAGGACTTAAGAACAATGTATGCAACTTGCCAAACACTTGCAACGAATGTGATGGCCTGTTAAGTGAGCTGTTATTGACTAATTAAATATTTGCTGGTGCAGCATTGGCAGTAGTTCACAAGCACAAATCACACAGTTCAATACATTCGTCAATACCACTGTGTTAAAAGGAAATGTATAAAATAGGCACTGTTTTCGGCAATGGCGTTTCTTCATAGCACATCAAGAAGGGTCATCTTCCAAAACGTCACCTATTATATACTGTATACAGGTAACGTTTCTTTACATTAAAAACAATCAATTTTAAGGCAGTGTTATTGATTCGTGCGTTGGGGTTTTATCGTAATTATTTGAACGGTTTATATTTGAATAAAAATGTATTTCAAGGTCATAGTTTATGACTATATTACTTTCATTACTTCCCGTCTTTTCGGATCAGAAGGAATCGGACACGAGTCTGGTTCGTACTTTGGGTGAATTAGGCGTTCAGCTATAGCGTAGCCAGGTGGTGGCAGTGTTGAGTGTCGCCCTTGGTATGCTTGGACTTTCTCCTGTGCTCAAGTTTCTTCCCACCCATGAATGTTATTGGCCAAACATCCCAATGTAGGACCCTACCCGAAGAAGGGTAATGAGGCTGGGTGAGGCTTTCCTGGCTTAATAATTGGCATTGTTATCGTGCAAAGATCAAACATTCCTCTATTGTACTTTCAAAGTACACTAAATGAAAAAACTAAATCTTGATGGTGTAATGTTAGCTGGTTTTTGAACGTTGCTTTGCAGTATATATTGTGTCAGGTTTGTGGAGAGCATGAGCTGTTTACATACGGTGGCTGTTAGACTCGAGTGTTTTCATTTAACCTGTAGGAAGACAACCATGCTTCTTTGTATATACATTTACATGCTTTTGTTCCGTACATATGCACAATTCTTTTGCAATCCTATTGCCGAATGGGTCGTGGGGATTGTTAAGTTATACTTCACCATGCTACTCAGCGTGGGTTAGTAACGATTGTAAATGTTGTGGCTTGGCTCTCCAACTCACCGGTGTGCTGTACTAGTGTAGTGAGTCCAACTGAGTCACAGACGTCTTGGGAGCAACACTATTTATTACATCAACTCAACACAACATAACGTAACCTACACTCGGGTGTTGAAGGCCCATCTAACCACGCTACGGCAGAACTAGACACGATTCGCTATCCCGGTCCGGACCACGAGCTGGGTCCCGGACCGCTTGGCTAGAGGCTTCCTCAACCCGACGTGGATCTTCACTCACCAACAGTCAAGAAAACCCCGAGCCCCACACGGGGCCCCCGTTATATCGGCCCGGGCTGGGGCTGGCTCCGCCTCTCGCCCCGCCCACCTTCTCGATCTCTCTGGCCCCTTCCCGAAGGCTCCCGAGAGCTCTTCTATACCACGTGACCACCCAGCGGCCCCCGTCCACCGTTGGCCCCCCTCCAATATCATCCAGTCACGTGTCGGCAGGTCAACCAGCGTATCGTGCTCCAACGTAACCCCGACTGGCTGACAATCTCGCTCCCTCACCGGGAGCCCGCACCGCACACTGTACGTGGTGCCTCTGCGCTGACCAGCGCTCACCCAAGCCCCACTAGGACTGGTACTACGCCCAGTAACCGGGCTGCACATAATGACAACTTATAATCCGCCGTGGCCTCGCAAGCCCGGCACCACACAGTGACAATCACAGTCACTACATTAGTGACGAATTGGCCACGTTCTGTTTACGTGACAACCCTGACTAGTTGGCTGTGTCGGGTGGTGGCGGGTTTAACGACACATCTATGTACTTACGCGATCTAACCTCAAAACCATGTATGATGGATGATATTGGTCGCGAAAGACTCCTGCGTGTTAAACTTGGTAAAGATGGGGAGCATAGACTACCGTACAGCCATAGATATTACTGCAATGCCCTCTGCTGACAGCAGCATGGTGTGTGGCGGTCACCAGGCTCGGAGCTCTGATGAGATGAGAGGCAGATTGGGTCGAACGAGACTCAATCGTGTGTTTCGGATCATGACCCGAATCCAGTTCCAACATGATACAATCTGATTCTCTGTTTCACGGATCCGATCACGGAGTCCTGATCAAACAGTAGATACTCTTCCATGTCAACGAAGCAGATATGTGTAAATTATTGTGTAATAATGCACAATGGTTGTTCAATTGTATAGTGTGTTAGCCTTTTAAATGATCTAAATTCACATTACTGTCAATTCAGTCATTTCACAACACTGTAGATTCACACGGCTGCAGATTCTATCGTATTACCGCTGTTGATTCTGTATTTGCACCACTGTGTGCAAACAGAGCGATGCATTAAAACAAATGTTACCCAATCTGCCGATCCAAACATAACCAGGTGTTAATCAAGTCAGATTCTCATCGATGTTATGAATGGACAGTTGCACACTCCTTCAAATCAGTAAATGCATTTTAAAAGTCTCCTCGAGGCTTATTTATGCTATTTGGCCTCTCAGACAACACTATCGGCATGCAATGCTCACAAAGACGTATGACCACAGACCTGCCAGGCTACGTTCACCATTTGTGTGCTCTGAAGCAGGGCCATTGCCCAAAACGTCACCCATTATATATTTTCCCCTTTAAGTCCACAGTGTTATTGCCGAATTTGTTGAGTTTGTGTTTGTATGTAGCCCTATGGAGTGGGGTGTGAGACACTAACATGAATCACAAGCGCTTACGCGTGTGAGTGATGTCATGCAATCCACCATGAACAAGACCGCCATAACAAGGGCATTGCTTTTACAATGAGGGAAAAAAGTATTTGATCCCCTGCTGATTTTGTACGTTTGCCCACTGACAAATAAATGATCAGTCTATAATTTTAATGGTAGGGTTATTTGAACAGTGAGAGACAGAATAACAACAACAAAATCCATAAAAACGCATGTCAAAAATGTTATAAATTGAGTTGCATTTTAATGAGAGACATAAGTATTTGACCCCCTCTCAATGAGAACAATTTCTGGCTCCCAGGTGTCTTTTATACAGGTAACGAGCTGAGATTAGGAGCACACTCTTAAAGGGAGTGCTCTTAATCTCAGCTTGTTACCTGTATAAAAGGCACCTGTCCACAGAAGCAATCAATCAATCAGATTCCAAACTCTCCACCATGACCAAGACCAAAGAGCTCTCCAAGGATGTCAGGGACAAGATTGTAGACCTACACAAGGCTGGAATTGGCTACAAGACCATTGCCAAGCAGCTTGGTGAGAAGGTGACAACAGTTGGTGTGATTATTCACAAATGGAAGAAATACAAAAGAACTGTCAATCTCCCTCGGCCTGGGCTCCATGCAAGATCTTACCTCGTGGAGTTGCAATGATCATGAGAACGGTGAGGAATCAGCCCCGAACTACACGGGAGGATCTTGTCAATGATCTCAAGGCAGCTTGGACCATAGTCACCAAGAAAACAATTGGTAACGCACTACGCCGTGAAGGACTGAAATCCTGCAGCGCCCGCAAGGTCCCCCTGCTCAAGAAAGCACATATACATGCACGTCTGAAGTTTGCCAATGAACATCTGAATGATTCAGAGGACAACTGGGTGAAAGTGTTGTGGTCAGATGAGACCACAATGTAGCTCTTTGGCATCAACTCAACTCGCGGTGTTTGGAGGAGGAGGAATGCTGCCTATGATCCCAAGAACACCATCCCCACCGTCAAACATGGAGGTGAAAACATTATGCTTTGGGGGTGTTTTTCTGCTAAGGGGACAGGACAACTTCACCGCATCAAAGGGACGATGGACGGGGCCATGTACCATCAAATCTTGGGTGAGAACCTCCTTCCCTCAGCCAGGGCATTGAAAATGGGTCGTGGATGGGTATTCCAGCATGACAATGACCCAAAACACACGGCCAAGGCAACAAAGGAGTGGCTCAAGAAGAAGCACATTAAGGTCATGGAGTGGCCTAGCCAGTCTCCAGACCTTAATCCCATAGAAAATCTGTGGAGGGAGCTGAAGGTTTGAGTTGCCAAACATCAGCCTCGAAATCTTAATGACTTGGAGAAGATCTGCAAAGAGGAGTGGGACAAAATCCCTCCTGAGATGTGTGCAAACCTGGTGACCAACTACAAGAAACATCTGACTTCTGTGATTGCCAACAAGGGTTTTGCCACCAAGTACTAAGTCATGTTTTGCAGAGGGGTCAAATACTTATTTCCCTCATTAAAATGCAAATCAATTTATAACATTTTTGACATTCGTTTTTCTGGATGTTTTTGTTGTTATTCTGTCTCTCACTGTTCAAATAAACCTACCATTGAAATTATAGACTGATCATTTCTTTGTCAGTGGGCAAACGTACAAAATCAGCAGGGGATCAAATACTTTTTTCCCTCACTGTATATGCTCTAAGTACCGATAAGCCCAAGTAAACGATAATGTGTGGGAGAAAGCTCTTGCACCGGATTGCAAGAGTATGGATCCCTGCAGTCACGAAAACTTCTAATTTCATATTGAAATATCTCTGCAAGTGTTTTTCCAGTGGGACTTTAATTAAAAACCGACTGGGGGTGAATAGTTTACTATGTTCTACTGCTTCACACCGTCGCCTATTCTCCACCGCGATTGGAGTCTCTGATGCGCGCGCGTGTGTGTGTGTGTTTTCTTCTCCCCACAGGTTTGGGCCTGACGTTTGTTCAAGATGAGAATGGACAAGGTGGACCATCTTTTGTTTTTTCTTTCTCCAAAGTGTTTTCCCAGAGATTCATGTTTTGCATGTCTAGCTGTCAGTTTTCCTTACCGGCACAACTGCTTTCTGTGGCTGTCGTAATGATTGTAACGGTGCAGTTATTATTTTATTTTGGAACATCCGATTTTTAGGGTGGCACCAAACCAATTTTAATGACTACATCCCTCCCTTATTTTAAGATTTCACCTTTCACGTTCATCTCAAATAACCCTGAATGTGCACCAACTCAAAATGAAATAAATCCTTTCCATGAGACTGTGACGTCTCCTGTTAATGTTATACCCAAACAATGTTCACTCTTTGGATAAAATAATCCAGCCTAGTTTACTTGCATCTATAAACCTGAGATGAACCCCCATCTCCAGGGCCGGATTGACACGCGGGCTTTCATGGCCTGCAGCCTGGGGCCTCGGATATAGAGGGGCTGCCCACACTATATATATACCATGTAGGATACAATATATTGCATAAATAAGTAGCGTGTTACTGTGTGGAATCGGAACAGCTGCATTCAGCCGGAGCAGACTGCCTTAGCTGAAGAGGGGCTTCAAAACCAAATCTATTACAGCCACGGGGTTTTACCCTCGCACGGATCCCGGCCTGGCCCATCCATACATCTTCCCAGGAACAAGATCTATTCTAAGCATATTCCGACTAGGAAGAGGTAAATGTCTTCCTAAAACTGATGTTGTAACTCCGAAACTCTGAAAACTGCTCAAATGTAGCGATGTATCTGGAGTGAAGTCTTCCTCCAATGCGGCCAGCGTCTATCGTGCAATTAGAAACCTGCCTAGCTCTAGTAGTTGCAGTAACGCTAAGAGCTCACTGAACCAGTCTCTGTCTTTCTTTAATGTCATCACCGCTGCTTGATTCTGCTATCACTAAAATGGCACAGCCATAACAAGTTTCATGAATATGTTCCGGAAAGTCTTAAATGTATTCAGTCAAAGTGTGATGCAGGTGGAGGTCAGTCTCCGTGCAGTGGGGCAGTGGTATTAAATCTCAGGGCACCGTCACACCTTGAGGTCGGCACAGCAGTAAAGCAGCCAAATGTGGCGAGGCAGTAGGAGAAGAAATTTAATTATGTGGCTTTGTTGCTGAGATGTTGACCAAAGCGGGGTGAGGGCGGGGGGTGAGAGAGGACTGCACAGATAACGATGCTAGGAGCAGGGAACAGTTCCCACATGACTGACAACAACTATGATACCATTCACAATCGGGACACCTTGATTGAGGGTCCCAGAAAAGATCTTTCCGGAAAATTTTGCAGAAGGAAAATCAAGCATATTTCTATTAAATACCAGTGCTTTAGGCTGACATATCTGCTGTCAGGCAGTTAATAGAGAAGAGCTGTGAGTGTGGAAATTATATTTTTACTTCTTTTGTAGGGATTAAACCGGCGTGTGATTCCATTTGCAGAGATGAGCTACGGGAACGTATAGATTGGTACAACCACTCCATGCACAATAGGCTGACCGCTGCAAAATGTGCACACCAGAACGAATGCCGAGTTTGTTGTTTGAAGGAAATGCATGGATTGAGGAAAGGAACAGCTGTTTACCAGGTGTCTATTTTACCTCCATCTTCCTCAGTGTTTTTACGGGGTGTGTATTCACGAAGACAACGGATAGGGCAGACACTGTAGACGGCCAGCATTTAAAAAAATGCACTTCAAAGATTTGGAGCTCAATTGAGGTTTTTTTTTTACCATAATTCCACATTGTTTGCTTGAGTTACAGATGTTTGTTTTTATGGAAATTTGTTTTGATTTCAACATTTGCTATTAATTCGAGGTAATTCCCATCATTAGTAAACCACATTACGCTCCACTTCAATTTCCCTTGCGGATTGTGTTGAAGTTGTCATCGCGGAGATAAATAATCGCAGAAACTTTTCACACCTTGTGTGCTGTGATTCCAGCTCGAAACTGGTGAAAGTGGCCACTGTTTGGCAAACAGTTTGGGCATGGTGGCTGACTCCGCTGTCTTCGTGTGTGGCTGTGGCGTGCACACATCCTGCAAACACATGCAGAAACCACCACAGCATTACGCGAGCTGAAACCTCTCACAATGGCGTCAGACGCAGATGAATTCTTGCAACCCAGTAAACCGGGAACGTTGGGATGACATTGGTCCAACGTTTCCTACCACATGCCAACGTTGGCCCAACGCTGCATGTTTTCTGGGAAGCACACACTGATGACGATGTTTGTGATGATGATATTGTCATGTATTTCTCAAGAAAAGCCTCTTTGAGTCTCAAAACTTTTATTAGGAGAGACCTGCATTGGAATGCTTGTCCAAATCCATTAAAAAGTGTTTTGCCTGTAGGAGGAATTCAGGTTTTCAGAGAAAACTCGCGCATATGAGGGGATAACAGTGATATTTCCACAGATGGGGTCACTGACCCAAGTGCTCTATTGTAATATCCTGGCAACCTTGTGAGTTTTACAAATCTGCACGACCCACCAATGTGCTGGATTAGGCAGTCATGCACCACGAGGCTTGCTTGCTGCTGCTGTGCTGATGTCCGTTGATGTAATGACGATGATGATGCTGAGGATAAAACACAATAACAAATGAAGGATTTTCAGTTATTCAGTGCTCAAAGACAAATAGTGCCTCAAAGTGCTTGGCTATACATTGATAAAATAAAAAGCCCCGAGTGAAAATTTTGAAATATATGGGAAAGATATAAAAAATAACAATGAACGATGACAATTTAAGATAAAACTATTGAGAATGAATTAGTTCTGAATGCAACCACATCTTAAAATGCTGTCGAGAAACAGTGGCTATTTTATTTTTTTAGAGCGTCTAACACATCCAGCCAGCTTAAACCCAGGATGCATCGCAGGCAGGCCAACGTGAATGTTTAAAGACGGCGCAGGTATTTCTGTAAAGGGGTCCACTTTCCGTAAGCGTAGGGAAGGGAGTGCATAACTGTGGCCGAGAAGACCTGAAGCTTCGTGTGGAGCGACGTGCCAGGCAGCTTCCACGCAGCGTTACGCAGCCGTTGTGGTGATTTTGTTGAGGACAGACACATCTCTGACAACGTGGGGGGTTGTCCATTGGAATCAACGCGGTCGCCGTGTCTATTTACTTGATGCCTGATTTATATACATATTGAAAAAAGGTATTTACAGTAAAACCTTGGATTGCGAGCATAATCCGTTCCGGAAACGTGTTTGTCATCCAAAGCACTCGTATATCAAAGCACTCGTATATCATTATGATACCTCCTTTTTGTGCCGGTTAAAAGGGTAAAACCTATTCTTACACTCGTATATCAGTTGTGACCACGTGACGCTCGGCAGTACAAAGCGTACACGTGCCGCTCGTATTGCAAGACCCTCGCTCGTTTATCAAATTAATATTTTTTTACAAAATTTTGCTCGTCTTGCAAAACACTCGCAGACCAAGTTCCAAGGTTTCACTGTATTTTATATCTGTCTTTCCTCACTGGGAACTCAAGTAGATGCTAACCTCCCACATTCCCTCTCCGAATGCCAAATTTACCAATCATGTTTTCGTTCTCTGTAACTTTCACCAGCTTTTAGCATTACTGTAGCCCATTGAGATGTTGTAAGCACTTCGCTCTCGTTTATTAGTTGTTTCCTTCTACATTTTATCTACATCCTAATCACAGTGGGTTTCTGCTGGAGCGTATACACATGATTAAGCTTTACCCGCAGTGTTTTGAGAGCCTTTGCGTGCGTTAAAACAACTCCTGATTATTCGTGAGCTCTTAAACTAATTCCGAGTTGTAAATAAGAATCCCTCTCCACAATTACTGGCATATCTCCCTCTTATAATATAAAACGTTGCCACTGTTGGCTGAAACCAACCACGCCCCGGTTTGTTCCTTAATTCGCATTCTGTCCATACTCTTTGGTTGTCCCACCTGATGACGGACCGCTTGTGTTGCGCCCGAAACGTCGTGATTTTATTTATTTTATTTTCTACCTACGTGACTTTACCGAAAGAACCAAAGAGTATGGATCCCTGCAGTCACGAAAACTTCAAATTTAGATTATATTCCGTCTCCAATTAAAGGAGACGTGTTTGCGGCAATGGTTAACCACCCAGTGATTCCTCGTGTTCCTTACGCGTACACCTTTCCCATGCTATGCTGCCATGAAAGATGAGGTCGGAGTTGTGGTTGCCGGAGGCCCCGGGTTTCAGGCTGCACTCCACCAGAGGGATAACGTGTGACCATACTTCACCACGCTGGTTCAGTGCGGGTTTGGTTGAGATCCTCGCCTGGCACGTGATCCAGTCACACGAGAGGCACAGCGTAACATAAGCGTACTTATTTTCTTGGTTCTTTCGGTAAAGTCACGTAGAAGGAAAACAATAAAATAATAAAAACATAAAACAATACAATTCTCACGACGTTTCGATTGCAACACAAGCAATCATCATCAGGTGTGGGGAAAAAATAAACGCCACTTTTTTCAAATTTTCTTGCTGTGGTTTTCACACCTGATGATGATGATTGTTTGTGTTGCAATCGAAACGTTGTGAGAATTGTATTATTTTAGTTTTATTATTTCCCTTCTACGTGACTTTCCCGAAAGAACCAGGAATATGAATCCCTGCAGCCACGAAAGCTTTAAATAAGCGGACTTGTTGTGTATCCGTGACGGTATGTTATCATGTAAAGTTAAGTTAATTGACTCATTGGTTATGTTAACTCTGTGCATGTGTCAACAAATTGTTTTTGTAGCGTCATCATTACAGGTAGTCCCCGACTTACGATGGAGATGCGTTACGACAACCCCATCGTAAGTCGGACCATCGTAAGTCGGGGACTGCCTGTATTCGTGTTTGGGAAAAAATTAGCGGCACCACTTACCGAGAAATCAGTCCGGATTTTTTCGTGAAAGTGGAGGCAGTGATGATACCGTTTCACGCGTAGGCTTCCGCGACCAATATCATCCATAATTGACTTTTTTTGGGGTTAGATCGCGTAAATGTATAAATGTGTCGTTAATACCCACCACCACCCGACACAGCCAACTAGTAAGGGTTGTCACGTAAAGAGAACGTGGCCAATTCGTCACTAGTACAGCACTAACCGGTGTGTTGGAGAGCCAAGCCACAACATTTACAATCTGAGTACGACGTTTCGCCAGTAATTACAACTAGCTTCATCAGGCGACAGCCAGACGAAGTTGGTTGGAGAAGGAACGAAACAGTTAGACTTCTCCACAAATCTGGGGTGGGTGGCCAGCATCGCGCCAGGCCGCCTTTGTCTCCCCAGTGATGATGCTTACACACCAGGTACTAATTTGAGGCTGAGTCGAGCTAGAGGATGTCCAGTAACCGTTTCACACACACCATACACACACACGTGTATGTGTGTGTACGGTGTGTGGGGAGCGGTGGTACAGCGGTTAGCGCCCTGCACTACGAACCTGGCGACCCGAGTTCGATTCCCGCTCACGGCCAACATCGGTGACTATTATCTGATCCGGTCCTGGACCTCCCCTGGGTCGACTCAGCCTCAAATGAGTACCTGGTGCGGTGCTGTAAAAAACATTGCCACTGCGGAAACAAAGGCGGCCGGGCGTGGTGCTGGCCACCTACCCCCTCGTGTGCCGTTCTGGCCTTGACAGGTGCTCGCTAACAGCACTTGCCCAAACAGTCTGTTACAGGCTATACGGGAGATCTTTGTCTTTGGTGTGTGTGCATACGATGGGAGCGCAGCCGTTGTCCCCTGCTCTGCTTCTTCTTACCCAGGAGTTTCACAACTCTCGTCCGCGCGACCATGCACGTTGGCTACACGCGCCCATTGATTGTTAAACACGTCCCACGTGACGTGATAAGCAATCAAAGCGGTCTGCGTTAATAGAGCCTATTCAGATTGAGATATCGTTGTGTGTGTGTATAAGACATGTGGGAGAAGTCAAGAAGTCAATTGGTAAACGCGGATTATTGTGAAGACCTCTGGCAAATTTGCAGGTGCGAGCCCATCAAGGGGCATGGGTGTATTGCGTTCACCAGCAGGTCTGCAGGGACCGCAAGTATTGGAAAAGCAAATCGTTAATTGTACCCCTGCAGCTTGTAGATGACACAGGATTCGTGGGTTTATTTCTGGGGCAATGTAGCTTCTGCCACTTTTAGGAAGTAATATCATTGACGCTGATGCATTAACCGTAGATCGCTAGCAGAGTATTTATGGATAGGGCTTTTGCACCTTTATCACGGCTGTCGATTATACGCAAGAATGTGTAACTATTATAGGAAAGTGTATCTTAAGAAATGTGCACAATGCAGGGATTTTGAAACGAGATATTGCACGAGTAGCACAGATTATTGGCCTCGCTTGTAAACCTTTTCAACGGTAGAATGGTCATGTTCCGTTAGTGATGGTTCTCTTCGGCAAGACTAACTTGTGTTTTTTTGGATTTGCGCGAGAGACGTAGACTTAAAGCAACTAGAAAGGAGGCTTCTGGCCTTGAATTGTAGGTGCATGTGGAGTACATTATGAATTCAATGGCAGGACATCGTAAGAAACTCGGCAGGGAGTATTTGGAGATGTCATCAGAAAGGAGAGCTTGGGATTGGTTTGGGTCTGGGTCGCAGGGCAGAGGGCAGAGGGCAGGTTAGTAAGGCAGCCGTTGGGATGGGCACCCCGAGGTCCAGGAAAAAAAGAATACTGATTACATGGCGCTTTACTGTAAGGGGCCGTCCATAAATGACGTCACGCACCTGGGGGGGGGGGGTTCAGACATTTGTGACGATGTGTGACGAGGGGGGGGGCGTTTGAGAAATATGACGTCACATCAAAATGCGCAACTTTCAAGAAATATAAACAACACGTTCTACTTAATTAAATATACTTTTTAATGAATGTTTTCTCCTACAACATCAGAGTGCAGCGCCACATTAAATACGCACTACAATGACAATAGTTTAACGCGATTTGAAACATGTTAAAATAATTCGGGGGGGGGGGGCAGAGCTTTGTGACGTCATATTTTAGTGGGGGGGGGTTTGACTTTTTGTGAAGCCGTGTGACTAGGGGGGGGGGGGTTAAAAATCAGATCTCGCAGAGGGAAGCAACGAATGTTAGTATCGATGGCATTGGCCATAATGATATTTTGTTCCTTGACTTATTCACTTTACTAATAAGGACAAACAAAAAACTTGTCATTCGGGAAATATACAGATATAAAGATTATGTATATAAATACATTAATGTATGATGTGTAAATGACTACAATTCACTGTAGGGGTGAATGGTTTAAATCTGAAGGTCCGCCGATCGTGCAGGGTTCGATCAGACCAGAGTTTGATTCCAAGCAGACTGATCCAATTGGCCGCAAAATCAAATCAATTTGATATCGTATTTGAATAATTGTGTAAAACCCTATTCGTGATGTAGAGGAAACCTACATTTTATGAAAACTAAACATTCGTTCCTTAGTACGGTATCATTTATTTACTCGCCCTTCGTCAATCCACTCCTGGATGAAGACATCACGGCGGCATGACGGTTGTTTGACCATACTTCCCCATGCTGGTCTGCGTGGGTTGGTGAAGGGTTGGTGGCGGGTTCAAGTTTTCATTTATTAGGTAGAGCCCTGTGAGCCATGCGGCTCTTGAGTCGGGTGCAACCGCATCAAACAAAAATATGAACAGAGAAACATCTTAAAGCGGCGACGCGCAACAGAAACATCCCGGGATAAACCAGCAAATCTTCCAGAACAGACAACACCGTATTGCAACGCTGTGTGCAAAAATACCAGTGTGAATGACCGGTTCAGATATCACTCGCCACTGACGTTAGCCG